ATTTTCCGTTGCCTAAGAGCAAAATTACTGAACTAAAGAGAAGCATAACATAAAAGTACGCATTGTGAATCCTTTTGTTGTTATAACTGGATCAAACGCCAATAGCGAATGAGCCGCGATCGCGACGAGGCAGTCGAGAGAGAATATTCTCTACTTCGTCTTCAGTAAAAAGTCGTGCTTTTTTGATCAAAAAAGATACGAGCCGCTTCGCGAGTCACCACTTTTTCGAGTCTGGGTAGAGTCCGAGTCCGAGTGGCATCAAAAAGAGACTCGAGTCACTTCGAGTCATAAAACTTCCTTCTGATTCATTTTTTCAGGCCTTCAATGCTCTCACGTGCCACAATGTTCTACTTAGAATATTCTCAAATCTCTCCCTCTTCTGGTATATAACAAACATAATAAACGTCGTCATAGCAATCCCAATTTGCACATGGCTGACTCGAAAGTGAGTCGAGTCAGTTTATCAAGTTTATCACCTCGAGTCCAAGTTCGAGTCCGAGTCATAGAAAAATGTGACTCGGACTCGCCCGTATCTGGCGAGAACAAAGTGCCGCGTCCACTAAAAGGAAAAAATGAAGAAGTCGCGAATGTAGCGACTATATAGGAGCGTATTTTTCTTTCTTGTCTTTTCTGTATTTGTATACATGCACGTTTTTTGCATCGTGTTTAAATAGTTTTGGTTTTATTTTTTTAAATTTAATCTGAAAAATATTAAAATTTATTACAATTATTGATAGTTTTATGAGGAAATATGACCTCTGAACAGCAAAATAATATGAATGCAATGGAAAAAGCTTAGGAAAAATCATAGAACAATTTAATAACAAAAATAACACAAATTCTTCATCTTTGAAGAGAACTAGCACAAGCAACAGTCAAATTGATATTGAAATTCAAGAAAATGATAGCGGAAATGGTAGCGGTGATTCGCAAACCGCTGGAAGTAGTAATAAAAACAAACATTTTCGTAACAATAATGACAAAGATGAAAGATTTACGTCAAGAACAATAATAAATAATACTTATAGAACTATAGAACAATAATTCAATAATAATAATTTATATCGTCAACAACAACAACATTCTCACAGTTTTCGGCAGCCGAATTTCAATTCTGCAACCACAGCTACAAGATCAATGAATGTAAATAATAATAACGATTATGAAATTCACGATGATATTAGCATCTCAAAACAAGCGGAAAACTTCGAAATGGAGAATCATCTGCAACCACATAAATTTGAATGCAATCCTAAATTCAAAAGTAATGATCACAAACAAGGCGTCAAATTTATTCAAGAATTCCTTCGATTAATTACAAATGATTTTCGTAAACAAAATTCAATCTATTCAAAACCGTTAGGTTTTGAAACGTGGTGGATCGACCGCAACGGAGATATTCAAGCTATAACAAATGAAATTGACTTATATGTCTATTTATGTAATGAAGAACACATTCCAAAAGAAATTGAACAAATCAAAATAACGCTACATCTGCCAAAACATCTTTCACCGCAGCGATCTATCATGTTAAAATGGGTTAGTTATTTAATATCAATTGAAGATATGAGCGAAGAATTAAATATGAAGTTTGAATCCATTTATTCAATACAAGAAAGTGCAGGAACAAAGAACAGCCGCAGTCTTAATTTAAGAATAGACATACAGGACCGAAAAGAATATAACGATATTTTAAATAATGGAATAATTAATTTATCTGGAACTATTTTCAACGTTGATGAATACCGTCTTGCACCAAAACTATTAATTTGTACAATTAATAGTACGTTGTAATTAAATTGTTGCAATTATCCAGGTCAGGTCAAAAAAGTATGTACAAATTTGGAGTCTGATTTATGTCGTAGATGTAGTGAAGACAGAAACAATGATAAAGATCATAAAGAATGTGAAATTTGTTGTCATCATTGTGGAGGAAATCATCTTTCTACAGACTATAATTGTGCTGTCATTAAAGAATATCGTTCAAAAGTGATTTTTGAAATTAAGCATCATCCAGAACGTCTACCACCAAATGTGCAGTTATTTATTCCTTCACAATATCGTGATCCACGTGAAAGAAGTAAAGTAATTTATAATAACAAAGTAGCAAATCATCAATCACAAATCAAACAACAACAGTATAACAGAAATGATAATAATGCATGGCCAAATCTTAATTTTCCTTTTCAAAATATGTCAACAACTACATTCTCGATAATGAACAATAATTTGAATGAAACGATTAAACAATTAGTGACGACTTGAAAAAACTAAAGAAGACTATGATGAAGAACAACGTAAAATACAAGAAAAATACAAAGAACATTTAAATGCAATGAAAACAAGTTGGCTTCTAGTACAACAGCAAGAATAAATACAAACTCAAATGATACAAACAATGAGAGCGGCGATCACGAATATCATGTTTCCAACATGCCAAGTAATAATCAATACATTGTTAACATTAGTTAAAACAATGAAAAATGAATCAAATCAAAATGACTGTGATGGAATGCTTCATACACTGGAACAACAAGTGGTGTTATTAAATGAACAACATGATAAATTCACACCACATCATTTGAAATTAGAAGAAATATTATCAAAACAACAAGAAGCGTTGAATTTAGCATTGAATTTCATTATACATCAAGCAAATGTTTAGTCAGGAATTCAGATATTCGTCACCAACTATAAATATGAATTTGATAGACACATTTGAAGGAACGAAGAGTGAGAAAGACAATATTTCTACTATTTTTTCTGAGTGGAATGCAAGAGTTTCTATGAGTTAGCTTTGTAAGGATTCGAAGAAGGAAAGACCAAAAAGTGTAGATGATAATCTTCTTTTTCTCTTATACAATTGTGAAGCTCTTAATACTCATAAGTATGATCTTGATATTTTAATTTCTTCTTATCTTCCTCGGATTCTTGTGCTAACTGGAGTAGGTAAACAGATACGGAGCCTGCCTATCATTCCTTCGCACTATTGGGAAAGTGTCGAAGGAGACAACAGTTTTGGAGGAGTGGCGTTCCTAATTCATCAGACCATAAAATCAAAGATAATTCAAAAACGACAAATTTTTTAATGTTAGAAATTGAAACTCTTTCAGAGAAAGTTCTTGTAGGCGGAGTTTATGTTCCCCCGCATACAAAACCCCCGTATGAGCTGTTTGAAAAATTTACGGGAGAAAATTTTACAATTTTTGGTGATTTTAACGCTAAACATGTAGAATGGAACTGTGCGTACAATAATACCAGTGGAACACAGCTGAAGGATTGGTTAATAAATAGTGGATGCGAAATGGTACATCCACTTGAACCGACGTCAAAAAGCTCTGAAGCAGTAATTGATTTTGCAATTATGCAAGATCCCACCGGATGGATTGTAGAAGTTTTGAAAGAGGGAACGTCTGATCACTATCCAGTTCTTTTTGTATCACCTTTTTCTACAAATAGAAATACATTTTTTCGTAAAACAAACTGGAAAATTTTCAAATTTTTCCTAATTTGCGTTTTTCAATATTTTAACTGCCTGGTTTATAACATCGACCACGATTCTTTCCTTGTTTTGTTTTGCGATTTTCTTTCTGCGCTTCATGACCGATGTAGTTTTTATGAGAATGTTAAAAAATATAGACCTCCTTGGCCTAAATATTTAGTTTTGTTAGCGAGAACAGTAAACAAATACAAAAGTGAATATCGAAAAACTTATTTCATGCGCCACTATGAGGAATATTGTTTTTGGAATGATGTGTACAAAACGGAAAAAGTAAATTATGAATACAAAATAAGAGAGAATAAAATTAGATTTATGAAAGAAGGTAATAACATTTGGAAAGTAGTAAATCCTTCATTTAAAAAATATAGGATTTTTTTTTTAATCCTTTCCGAGGATTAAAAATCAACAACGTTATAGAAAGCAGAGCCCGAAACGAATCAGGATTTCCTGATTCGGTTCGGTTCGATTCGGGACAACAGTTTCAAATCTTGAATTGGTTCGATTCGATTCGGCATAACATTTTCAAATCCTGAATCGGTTCGATTCGATTCGGGCCAGTCCAATGAAAAGTAAAGCTTGCTTCTCTTTTATTTCCAAACGTTTGCTTAAGATATATTGGCTCGAGTTGGAACACTTGAGGAGAACATATCATTTATGTGACTACTACTTTGAAACATGAAATAAAACAAAACAAACAAGAAAAATATAAACAAGAAATGTCTTGTTCGCATGATTAGTCTTTCCATTTATTATTTTCGATCGAACGTAAAAATAATATGTTGTTGACACTCGATGGATCTAAGCTTGAGCGACGTTGATTAACAATTTGACCAGCGGCGCTGAATTCTCGTTCAACCGCAGCTGAGCTACAAGGAATTGAAAAATATCGTTGGAAACGCAAGGAAACGCAAAATAGTACCTTGGACGATTGAAATCCTTTGATAAAATTTGATCCCCGGTCTGTTACGAATGTTATTCGTTCCATGTATTTTTTCAAACCAAAAATTTCCAATTGTGCTTCAATCATCTATAATATAAGAAAAGCTTTGTTAGTAGTCAAACAAAGAACTCAGGTAGTTGATAGTTTAGTTACTTACCGTAAGAATATTGTCAGCAGTTTTCTTTTTCTCTTTAAACTCAGTGCAGAACAAATCGATTGAATGAGATTCATAATCATCATCCACAAAATTGCGCCCATATAGGAGATCTTTCGGTAATTATCAGTCCAAATATCCGGGCTCAAACATAAACTGCCGTCTTGGGCAGCAACGATGAGTTTTTCTCTTAATTGTGCACGTTCTTGTTCAGCTAATCTATCTATTTCGTTTTTCATAGTACGCTCACAGGATAAAATATCGTCAGCTAATATGAATGAGTCCGAACGCGAACCACGACCTAAATAAAAAAATTAATGAGTAATGTCAGTTATGGAAGATGAGTAATGACGCATGGTAACTAACCGATATTAATACATTCTTGAACCAGCTCTTTGAAACCACGATCTGAAACAATTTGAAATGGGCGCATTGAATCGGCTACCCATCGTGTACATAAATATTTCATTTTTTCCTTTTTCGTCGAGACTTGTTTTCTGGCAGCTGGTGAGCGAGGAGACCGGATATGACTTTTAATTGTCGGTTGATTAGACGATAATACTCGTGGACTCTAGTTCTCTACTTGTGTCTCAACTTTCTCTTCCAAATCTATCTCTTCGTCGTAAATACTTTAGACTTCTACAGTTTTTCAAAATTTATCATCGTCTAAGTCCTGTCTCTCTCTTTTATACTATTCATCGTCCTCACTACTCATCCTTACGTCTCCATCACTCTAAATATGTTCGCATTCCATCTTCTGTTGATGGTTTTTTTCCGCAAACGGTACATTCTTCTTTTTTTTATTCAACTATTGCTGACTGGAATAATCTTCCGGAGTCAGTTGTTTGTCATTCGTCTTTATTGTCTTTCAAAACTGCTTTATTTCAGTATCTCTTCCAGTGAAACGATTGTCAGTTATGAATTTATATTTGTTCTCTTTTCCTTATTTTCCTTATTTGCTTACTTCTTCTTATTTTTTTTTTTTTATTTTTTATTTTTTATTGTTTCTTCTTCAAAAATTTGTTCTTTTTTTACTATTTCTGGTTCTAACCTTAGTTGTTTGTTATTTTGTTCTTTTTATTACTCTTTTTTGTGTTGTTTGGCTTGAGTCATTTATTACAGGTCAGTGACCTTTGATGACTCTCTCACTTTTCGTGAATAAACAGTCTTAGTCTTAGTCTTAGACATTGATGATTATTCAAATTGGCAGTACTTGAATCGATATAACGATACGTTTCGAAACAGTTTTTACATGAGGCATAACCGCGGATAACCTCAAACTTCTGATTCTTTTCTTCTCGTGCTGGAAAACCGAACGATTGCCAACAGGGTGCTGTTGCACGTTTACTTAGATTTTGTACTACTTTGAACTGATCTTTATCATTAATTAATGATCGCTTAATACTATCAGATGTGTAAGAAGTTGAAGTAGATGAAACGCATGGAGAGAGTGACGATAAGTTGACAGGAGTATCCTCGGTCGAATTCATATTATTTTGTTTATAAGAGTTTGAATTTATAAGTGATTAAAAAATACTCTGATATTAGAATTTACAATTTAATTGACTGGAAATCAAAAAAAAAAGTAAATAGCCTTTCGCTTTTCTATTGGCTGATGTTTTGGCCAATGAACAGATAGAAAAAGATCTCTACCTTAATGATCACAAAATAAGTGAATGTCGCTTATGTGTGACATTCATATTCTGGCGCTCTCAAAAATTCTATCTTTGAAAATGAATTTGATTAGATATTTTAATAGCTTGGTAAAAGATATTATATGTTCCTCTTTCTAAGGCCACGTTCACACTACAAATTTTTCAGAGTTAACTTCGAGAGCGTTCACACCTAAATCTTTAACACACCAATAAGATTTTGATATTTCCCCTAAAATTATGCTGCTTAGGTTGCAGCTTGCTAACAGCCGGCCAGTTTGAATTTACGTTCAACCTAAGCAGCATAATTTTAGGGGAAATATCAAAATCTTATTGGTGTGTTAAAGATTT